TAAACTCCTTCTCTGCTAGATTGATTTTGTCAAGATATTTTAGTCACAGCAACAGAAATGAAACTCTAACAAGACTTTTGTAATTACTCTGGGGCCACTCAGATAGCTCAGTGCAGTCTGGCTGCCTATGGTCAGCTTCTGAGTCCTCAATACTCTTTCTACCTGCTTGCTCCTTTGGCCATGTGGCCTCACATAGACTAGATTCTGGGGATGAGCCACATGGACACTTTTGAGAGGCCATTGTTCTGCCCACTATGGCATATAAAATTATTTCTGTCAGAACTATTTGTGTAATGCAAAGTCTACCATGGAAAACTTCTCAGCAATAGGTTATTATATTATTTGAAAATGTGCAGGAATGTACATATATTGTTGAGCAAAATATGGCATAAATGGTAATGCATGCCATTAGACTTCAAGGTAGTAATTACTCTGGAGGGTGTTGATTGATACGTGGCACAAAGGAAGCCTCTTTTTGACTTTCCCTCCAACTTTCCCTCCAACTAACTTTCTTCGCTTTTTTTTGTGTGTGGCCCATTGAGGTTAGAGTTTCTTGCTGCAGCATGGGGGGAGCAGGTTTTTACCAAAGCAAGTGAAACTTACCAGTGGCTACACTACTGAAAAAAATGACTCCCTCTCCTGCAACAACCCTTAATTGCCAGTAACCCCAAGGGAGAGGTGGCGCCTCATAGGCCCCTACTCCATCCATAATGAACCATTGAGGAGCCCAGTCTTGTTTTGGTAGTTGGTCCATTTTCTGTTTGAGAAAACCCATTGAGCTCATGAAAGGGCACTCTATCTATATAGCCTATGTTTCCTTAATAAGTTTGTCTTGATGCAGGGCTGGAGAGAGGGCAACAATTAAAATCACAGGCTGCTCTTGCAGAGGACTGGAGTTTTTTCTCAGCATCCACACATTGGTTAACAACCATCCATACCAGTTTCAGGGGATCTGACACTGTCTTCTGACCTCTGGGGGCACTGCACATGGGTGACCTTACATACATGCAGGCATAACATGCATATATATATATAATAAAAATAAATTTAAAAATTAATTTTTAAAAAGTGAGAAATAGGGGCTGGAGAAATGGCTCAGCTGGTATTTGCCACTGTACCTGACAAATTGTGCTCTGACCTCCACATGTGTGCCCTGACATGCACACATAAACACACACTTACAAATAAGTAAATAAAATATAATGAACACTTTTAAAAAGAAAGTGGGAAATAGAAAAATCTTGATGGAGTTCCAGTCAAAGCCTATCCATTTCTTGGTTATAACTTTGGACTTATTACTTAAACCTTCTAAGCCCCATTCTGCAAATTGAGAATCAGTTTCTTTTTAAAAATATTTTATTGGGGCTGGAGAGATGGCTCAGAAGTTAAGAGCACTGACTGCTCTTGTAGAGGACCTGGCTTTGATTCCAAGCACCGGCATGGCAGCTATGAACCGTCCTTAACTCCAATTCCAGGGGAATCCGAAGCCCTCTTCTGACCTCCGCGGCATTGCACGACATGGGTGCACTCACATACATGTCCTCTTGTTAAGTAAAAGAATTATACATTTTGGAATCCATTGACATGAGTCAATGCTTTGCTGACCTAAGGAACACACTCAAGACAACTTCCCTAGTTTTAGACTTTGGTTAAAAATTTATCTCAGAAGGAGGATAAGATGTTAGGAGGTTAAAGCAAGCAAGTTCACGGAGAAGGAATAAAGACAAGAATCACCTAGGTTTTTAACCTGTTCTCTTGAGAACAGGCAGTCTTTAGAACCAAGTTTTTTTCTGAGCAGAGCAATGTCCCCCGGGGAAATCATGTACCTAAGAGTTGGAATAACAAGAGGGAAATGTGCTTAAGGAAGACGCTGTTGGCATCTGTGAATGTCTCTCCAGTGATGATGCTTTTCTGACTTTGCCCACATGAGCTGCATGTTTGTTTCTCACATTTTCCATTCCTGACTCTGTCTTAAGATCCTGCTGTCTTGCCTCAGGCACAGCTTCACCATCAAGCATTCAGGGGGACTTGGGGTGTCCACCCAGAGACTTACCTGTCAGAGATCCTACCCAGTTGAGCCCAAGAGCTCTGCTGTTATTGAAAGCAGTGTTGAGAGAAAACGGAAGAACAGAAAATGTACATGAGAGAAAATTCAGCCCTGCCCAGACTGTAGAGAAAGCAAGGGATGCCTGGGAACTGAATCCAAGAATTTGTGAGGCTAAAAAGAGAAGTAAGTAAATAATAATAAGAAGAAGATGAGAAGGAAAAAGAAAAAAAAAGAACATGAATGTGTTCAAAAGCTGGGTGTAGTGGCACATGTCTTTAATCCCAGCACTCTCAAGGCAGAGACATATGAATCTTTGTGATATTGAGGTCAGCCTGGTCTCCATAGCCAGTTCCAGGCAAGCTGGGGCTACCAGGAGACCCTGTCTCAAAAAGACAAAGCAAAACAAAATGAAATAGAAGACAGAAATAACAAAGACGAATAAAACAGCATGTTCAAAACTAACAGTAACAAACATCGAAAACACCTTCTACAGGAGACAGTATAAGGAGCTAAAAACCAGAGCTTCAGACGTATAAAGAAATCCTCGATTTAATTCCCAGCTCCACTACCTCCTGGCTATGTGACTTCGCAACTGTTAACCTCTCTGTAAGCGTCATTTTCCTTATCTGTAAGATAGGCCTTAAAATAGGGCTTACTCACAAGACTGCGAGGCCTCAGGTTGTTGATCATGCTTAGGAAACATCTAGAACAGCCCATAATACAGCCATCTATTACCTAGATCTGTGTGCAGTACATCCTGACTCAATGCAAACTACAATCTGATTAGTCTTCCTGCCCCACCTGAAGCATCTGAGCCACGGAAGGACGACTACTTGGCTCGTAATGGCCTACATCGGGGAGCTGGACTGAAGCCCCACAAACTGGCTCTAGAATTCTTGCTCTTAGCATAGTGCATGGCATTGCCCCTTCTGTTTTCAAAAAAGAAAAAGAAAATAAAAGGAGGGGCAAATATATAAAAGGTTACAAAGGTGGGGCAAGGGTCAACTCTGCCGTGAAATTACAAATGTATAAAACATGTAGAGATGAATTTGGAACCATACCAGATTCCTAAGAGCCAGCAAAGCCGTGTTTGCCTCTGCAGACCAAGAAGTCAGTGAGCATTCTCCTCTAAGGTCATGTAACAATTTTCTGTAACCAAAGCTGACCTAGTAAGAGAAGCCCCCTGATAGTTACCATGGGATTTTCCAGATCACTTCCTAGATAGAAGCTTGAGACAAGACAGGCCAGTTCAGAACGAGATACTTGACATCCTCAGTGTGGAGGAACAGCCAGCAGTCCACTGTTAGTCATCCTTCTTCAAGGCCAAAGGTTGGAGCACTGGAGAGGGGGGAGAGAGGAGGGAGGGAGGGAGGTAGGGAGAGAGAGAGAGAGAGAGAGAGAGAGAGAGAGACAGAGAGACAGAGAGAGATTGAACAAATGCTGGAGATATGGGTCAGTGGTAAAAGAGTTTGGGAGGCGAGAGAGGAAGGAGGGAAGATCATGGGAAGGAAAGGGAGAGAGGCGGGAGAGAGAGAAGGAAGATGGAAGAGGAGACTGAGATCTCAGCACTTAGAAGGTAGAGGCAGGAGGATTGAGTTCAAGGTCAGCCTAGACCACAGTGAGTCAATGTCTCAAGAAAGAAACGGGCAAGAATGATGAAAGAACAAGTGAAAAACTGTGGTCTCAAGTTGTTTATATTTTTTATTCTTTGAGATTTTCATACATGCACATCACGCATTTTAACCATATGGGCCCCCATTCCTCCCTCCAACTCCTGCCATACTCCCCTCCTGTGTCCCTCCCAACTTCATGTCCTCATTAAAAGCAATTTTTTATAGCCCACTGAGCCCAGTTAGTCTTGCCCATATGTACATAGGTGTAGGGCCATGTGAGGACCTAAAAGCCCCACCTTGCACAGGTCTGAAAGGAAGTTACTGGGGCATGGCCTGGCTTGCTTTGAAAGTCTGAAGAATACTTCTGCACTGCTGAGGAGTGCATGATCAGCATGTGACCATCCTTAAGATACACCCTCAAGGGGGGGAGGGGGGACTTCCGGGTGCCTTTATAAGGTGTGTAACACCTGCAATAAATGAGTCCCAACTTGACTAGGCTCCCCGTTGTGTCTGAGTGTCCCCCGGTAATGGGGGTGGTGGCGTGGGGTGGCGAACGGCGTGCTTACTCATCCCCAATCCTCACCTCGCCGGGGGTTGCCCGTTCAAGTCCCCAGCAGGGCCATCCACTGGAGAACGGTCAACCTATCATGAACCACACCCCAAAAGATGAATGACTCTTACTCCACTAGCAGCCATCAACTAGGCTTCTCAGCTAGAGTGGGACACACACACACACACACACACACACACACACACACACACACCGGCCATACTAGAATGGTGATTGCCTTGACCTTGCGCAGAAGATCACCGCTGCTGTGAGCTCACTGAGTGCAGCAGTCTATGGTCAGAAGACACAGTTTCAGAGCCTTCCTCCCCAACCTCTGATTCTTACAATCTTTCTTTCTGCCTCCTCTTTCTTGATGTCCCCCGAGGCTTATAAGAAAGGGTCCAAAGTTTAGATACTGTAAAATTATGTAAGGACCCTACTTGAAAAATATAATTGTTTTCATAGGAGAAGAAAACTTAAGAATATTCCTTTAGAAATGAAAAATAATTCAACATATGCTCTTAAGAAGCTCTGGTTCTCCCCTGCTGGACTGGCAATTTCCAAAGGCTTCTGATCCAGGCTGAGAATATATTTGGGAAAGTAGGAAATGACAAAGAAAACAAATAGTTAGACAACAAAAAGAATGCAAAGTCTTGTAAAGGAAGGAGTTGCATTGTGCGAAGAAGTTGAAGTAAAAGACAGGAAATAAGATGAGATTTTTATGATTGAAGCCAATCAATGGACCACAACTGCTGCCTCCAAAACACCGAGTCCTGCAACCCTGGCACTTCTATGACGGTGAGTCCACTAGTCTATTTCCAGTAACTCTCCCAAACAGCATTTTCAGAGCACTCTTGATGTCTTTGTTCCTTAGACTATAGATGAAAGGGTCCACAATGAGGGTTACCATGGTGTACTGTGGCAGGGGAGTGTGAATTTTGGGTCATGGCAGAACTTAGGTACATTCCCAGGAGGGTACAATAAAATAGGGAGGCAACGGACAGGTGAGACGCACAGGTGAAAAATGCTTTGTACTTCCCCTGAGCTGAGGAGATTGCACGTCTGGAAGACACAATCATAGAGTAAGAATAAATGATGCCAGCAAGGGGACCCACCGCCAGCAGCATAGCTGTAATGTAAATCACCGTGTCATTGATAAAGGTGTCAGAACAGCCATGGTGCACCACCTGATTAAGTTCACAGAAAAAGTGGGGAACTTCCAAGACTGTGCAAAAGGACAGCCTCAGTACCAAGAAGCTATGCAATAAGGAATTCAGGACACCCACGGTCCAGCACACCAGAATCAGCAACCCACAGAGCCTGGGATGCATGATGATCGTGCAATGCAGGGGGTGACAGATGGCGACATAGTGGTCATAGGCCATCACAGTCAACAGAAAGATGTCCAGCCCTGAGAGAAGCAGTAAGGAGTACATCGGGGTGATGCAGTCCGCACAGGTGATGACCTGGCTCTGGGCCTGAATATTCACCAGCATCTTTGGAACAGTGGTGGAAGTGAAGCAGACATCCACAAAGGACAGGCTTGAGAGGAAGAAGTACATAGGCCTGTGCAGGTGGGAGTCTGAGACTATGGCCAGGATGATGAGCAGGTTCCCAAAGACAGTAACTAGGTACATGGAGAGGAACAGCCCAAATATGAGAGACTGAATTTGTGGTTGATGCTCTGAAAATCCCAGAAGAAAAAATTCTGAAAGTTGTGTGTCATTTCCTGATTCCATGTATTCAATATGGCTAGCAAAAGAAGAAAAAGACAGTCATACATTAATGGACTACCATAAATCCCCCCTCTGATTTCATAACCCACTGAGTTCAGTTAGTTCTGCCCATATATTCATATATATATAGCTATGTACTGAGGCTGGGGTCATACCCCTGAAGTAAACCACATATTTTTAAATATATGTAGTATAGCAGATGGGGCCCAGTATATTCACCAACCCTCTGTAACTATAACAAATGCCTGAGATCGTCAACCTATAAAGAGGAAAGGTTGATTTGGACTACAGTTTTAGAGAGTCCAGTTCCTGGTTTTTTGACTCTGTGACTGTGGGGTTACAATGAGACCGCACATCATGGTAGGAAAACATAGTCAAACAAAAGCACTCACCCTAGGGTTTGAGAGATGGCTCATTGGGTAAGAATGCTTGCTGTAAGGGCATGAGAACTGCATTCAGATTCAAGTACTCACATAAAACAGATGTGGTCATGCACACGCCTATGATTCCAGTGCTGTAGGGGAAGTATACAGGAGGACCGCTAGAGCTTGAGGTGGACAGCCTAGCTCTAGGTTCAATTAGAGACTCTGTTTCAGAGGACTAAGGTAAAAGTTGATAGGGCAAGATACCCAAAGCCACCCTATGGCCTCTGTACACAGAGACACGTGCACTGCAAGCACATATGCAAAAAAAGACACATTCTCACACTCAGAAAAAGGAAAAACTTATGAGTGTCTTATGGCCTTGAGGTAAAAGAAAAAGAAGAGACTAAGATCCAAGAGTGTCTTATCAGGGCACAGACCAATGAAATTGAAGATCACCTCCCAGCAACCATACCTTGGAGACCAAACCTTTAACACAGAGACATTTGGGAGAGTCAAGATGCACACTACAAGAGAGTCCGGGCATAAAATGAAAAAGGAGAAAGTGGGTGGCGATGCTGCTTTGAGAAACCAGTGGACAAAAAGCCATTTGACCAGGATCATCAAGGAAGGCAGACCGGACAAGACCTATGAATGTCTCTGGGGCTGTCTGTTCATGTAAAGAAGAATGTCTATAGAAAGGCCCCAAGGAAGACATTTATTTAGTTGTTTAATATGAAAAAAGAAGTCAGAGTGGTAAAGGAATGAGTAAGAAGTTGAATGATTGTAAATAGTGTCATAGAATGGTGGATGCATAAACCAGGTGTGGTGGCACTGTCTGTAACTACAGCTATCCTAAGAGACTGAGGCAGGAGTATTGTGTGACCATGGGAATTTAAAACCAGCCTGGGAAACATAGTGAGACTCCCATATTAAAATATTTTTTATAAGAAGGCTGGTGTAGCTGGATGGCAGTGTTTGCCTAGCATGCATGAGTTCTGGGTGCTATCACTGGCACAGAAAAAAGACCTAGGTGGGCTAGCTGCTGCAGAAACTTCAAAACAGAGATGCTTCTATGTTTGCACTTGAATAAATAAATACTCCAATGGTATCCTTTGAAATGAAATGTATCCCTTCCTTGTTCAATATATTGCATTGATTTCTGGCCTCTATTATACTCAGTTCTTGAATAGACTGAAATCTTGGACATATTGTCACTCATTTGTTTTTTTCAGTAACCCTCATACATAACCATTGTCTGTTCCAAAAAATAACATTAAACTCTCTTTATCAGCTTTAAGGCATATAGTGGCTTCAGCCTTCCCTCAGAATTCTCAGTATTGCCTTTTCTAATATAGAAATGCTGATAGCTCGTCTTTCATTACAGCTATCACAACTAGAAGCTAAATTTAAAACAAGGATGACTTTCTCACGGACATTTAAATTTTTCTATTTATTTGTTTTTAATACTCTCCTTTCTCTTACAATGATTGGATAATTAACTCCCTCTTTAATTACTTTGGCATGGTTATTTCTACCCAAAACACCTAAACAAAAATTTTTCTGCCCCAAATCAACAAAAAATACTCTTATTCAATAGAACTAGACCCAAACCATTCAACTTACTGGAAAGGATCCTGATGCTATTTATCCTTCCATATGTCAAGATAATCTCATCTTTCTTTTACAGACCTCAGAAGAATGGCAGACAAATTTCTCTAGTTTGTAGGGCAATATTCCTTTCACTTCTCTCCATATGGAACTCCATTACTTCGTATACAAGTATTTTCTCCCATGAATCCTATTCCTAATGCACTAACAATTTTATTTTGAATAGAGTCAATAAATTGGACCAGAAACCTCTATTACATGGTATTAAAATATGGCGCTCTCTTGTAATCCCTGTAATAACTATCACCCAGCAGACAAAACTTATAACTGTGCTTTCTGCTGTTTACACAAAACAATGTTCACAAACATTTCACTAGGCTATACAATTCAATGATATATACATAAACTTTCATTAAAATTTGTTTCTAAATAAATGTATGTATTAAATTATTTCAAGTATATAATCAAGGTAACAAAAATATTTCTTTTTCAAAATATTCTTAATATGAAATTATTAAAGGGGGCTAGAGAGAGTGCTCAGCAGTTAGGAGCACTGACTACACTTGCAGCAGACCTGGGGTTAGTTCCCAGCATCCACATGGCAGCTAATAACCTTCCTTTACTCTGGTTCCAGAGAATCTGGTGCCCTCTTCTGAACTCTGTGGGCACTACATGAATGGGTGCATTTACATATATGCAGGAAAAATACTCATACACATAAAATAAAAATAAATAAGTCCAAAACATTTAAACTATTAACTATAAGGTTTTGATTAAAACTAGACTACATAGAAAACAATAACTGTTATTCAAATAGTTTTGATCTTTAAAGTTTGTATACATTACTGTTAATACTTATTCTTCTGTTGTTTGTGCCTCTACCCAAGCAGGAAAATTATTTGACATGTCAAGAATCATTGATTAGAAACATTGGCTGTACTTGGACTTCTACAATGCATGGAAACTGATGATAGCTCTGCTTATAGCAAGCTTTTGCCATATAACTGGCATTCCATATGACCCACAAGGACAAGCAGTAATGGAGCACATTTATCATAGGCTAAAAGTTCAACTTAAAGAAGAAACAAAGATGAAGTAGGAGGCTTTGTCCTCCCCTTTAGGCTTCTTAAACAAGCCCTACTTACTTTAAACTTTTTCACATACAGTGATGAAGAAGTGACTCCAATGGAACATCATCATGGTCAATACACTCTTGGTAACTCCCCACTGGTGTACTGGAAAGTACCTGAAGAGGGCATATGGAAAGGCTCTGCTCCCTTGAAAACTTGGGGTAGAGGATTTGTTTGTGTTTTTCTGGAAGCTGCAGCAAGACCTTTCTAGGTTTCTGGCAGGTATGTGAAACAAAGGCATAGAAGAAGCCCATCTGACGCAAAACTGACCCTCAAAATCTGATCATTGCCACCTTTACCATCATCACCCTTGTGGTAACTGGTGTTCGGGGAAAAGATTTTGTACTTTCATTCTGAGACCCCATTATTAAGAGCCATGACACTGGGTGGGCTAACTTCCACTAGTGTATGTAAATAACACTCAGCTCCTCCCACATCCAAAAATGCCTGCCATGCCAGATATGCATGCAAAAGTCGCATTCTATAAATCATATAGGAAATTGACATATATGCATTTTTGCCATACTAAAAACTTATTGAATCTCCTTGGTGTTTGTGTATGAGACTGTCAATTTTGGCTAGTACGTATCCTTAAAGAAGGAGACAAAATTGCAAGCATTCATTGTCCACAGTAAGCATTCATGAATGTGTGGAGGTGACTAATTTCACCTATTCTATGCCTTTAAAAAGACTTGCAGACAAGCTCCTTCATGTATGTAAGAAAAAAAATATGGGATGATGGCTAGTGTCCCCCAAAGTTATCTTACTCAAAATAATACCATAATTGTTTAGGGGCTACATAGAGAACCCATGTCATCAGATAATCAAATTCTATTCTGGCATAACATTGAGACCTGATTCAAAACTATCTCCAATAAGATAACATATTGCTATACTGGGGACTTAGCTGGACCCCAATTGAAACATAAATATGGGCTGCTTCACAATACTAAATGGAAGTTGGTGGCTGCCTTACAAAACTGACCCTTTAGAAAGCAAATTCTATTTGTACTAGTAAATTAGTAAGATGAATGCTTGTTATACAGAACCAGCTGGTTCAGGTTTGTGTATTTGCTCCCTCTATGATTACAGTGGGAGATAACATCCAAGTCCTACACAATGTCACTACCCAATTGTATCATACTGAATGTGCAAATTGTTACATCATTGTGTTAATCAGGATAACAAAAATCCTGGTGAATATTACTAACAATGGGAAAAACCCACCTCACAGATTCTACATTCTATATTTCAAAAGGTGTTATCACGAGGTAAATGGGTAATAGGTTAAATTATTGGTGTTATTTTTACTGTTATTGGTATCATTACATCTGTGGCCCTACCAGTCGCCATCCTTTCCCCAAAAGCTCAGACTCACACTTTTGTAAACAATCTAGTTCAAAACTAGTCATAGACTGTTCAATGTGCCCTAAATCTGAATTTTTGAGATGAGATAGTCTAAAGAATGCACTGTTGTGGATGAGCAACCATATCCAGATGGAGCTCTGTTGTCATTATAATGTCACTGCCTACTGTATTATGCCCTTAAGTATAACAGCAGTGATTATGATTGGAATAAAGTTAAGGCTCACGTCTTGGGAGCACGAGGAAAGCATAATGCTACTTTGGAGATCCTAATTCTATAAAAAGATATTCAACAACTAAGCTCTATGCAACTAGACACTTCTAATGACCAAATCACTGGAAATATAGTGACTTGAATTCAGGCTTTTAATGCCCAGACATGATTCAAAAATCAAGACATTGTTTTTATCTTTTTTTCCATTGTGGCTGTAACTGTGCATTTTCTTTTCTCTGAAGTCTGCAGAATCGGATTAACCAACAGAAGTAAGATGAAAGCTCTTCAACCAAAAGTTACCATGGTCACCTTGTGTTTATA